AGATTCAAAATCAATATAGGAGCACTGAAAGCTCATTCTTGTATGGACAATTTAAGGTGTAATAGGACTCCAAATCAAATTTATCCCCTAAAACTTATTAGTGTGAACTATGCAGCATATAGAATTCCAGAGAGAGGCTATAGCACAAGGATAGAAGTGATTTGACAAAGTGCCCAAGGCAGCCAGGGCAGAACTGACACCAAGCTGGTCCAGTGCCGAGAGACTTGCACCATCCCATCCCACTCCGTATCCACTCCTGATGCATAGAACGATAAAATGTCCATCACTGGGATTATTTGCAATATCAACTGGTTAAACTGTTAAGAACAGCTGAACCACGCGGCTGAGTTCCTCAACTGTCTAAACTGACAATCTCTCCAGAATATCCAGGAACAAAGTGAAGAGTTTAGAGGGCTTCCCCTCCTTGGAAAAAGCGGTGTGAATTCCATTTTCTGAAACTTGTCTCCACATAACCAAATGGCAGCGTCCTCACTGATTTCTTAAAAAGAAACATCTGTGGCTTCCTTTTTTAATGACAGTCAAGGTGCTTCACAGAAGATTCAAGTAACCTGGATCAAAACTAAGGCCTTGCATGTGAAATTTTGGTGGTTTTTGTTTGTTTTGTTTTTTTAACAAATACCAGAGATTTCAGAATTCAATTTAAGAATATATGAAAGGAACACCCAGTTTTAGAGTCCTGGAATTCTTAATTATTTTGAACCCGCTACACATACTGTTGGTGGAACCCACTCCTTTTTTTCAGTGTTCTGTAAAACCAAGCCAGGTTTCACTCATGGATTAATGAATTCACTCATTTGTAGTCTCGGATTTTCTATTTCTTGCATTGATAAATAAGTGAATAGCGAGTAATTTGCAAATAATTTCCACTCAGCAGTGAATAAGTGGAAACATTTAATACATGGTGCATGGTGCTCTTGGGTTTGATTCTTCTCTTGTAGGAGTACAGGCCAACTCTCTCCAAGCACTGACCAGGAGTCTGCTTCCCACGTAGAACCCTCTATGCATCACAAACTTTTTTCATTGACTTAAAAGTAGTCAGTTGCCTCTATATTTTTGTTAATTCAGTGAGAACCTTCACTTGCAAAGTGAGAGCTGAGTTGAGTAGCGAGAGAGTGGTTTAACTGAAATGACTTTTGTAATCATGACCAGAAGAAAACGGTAGCATTATCAGGACTTGACATATCAAGTTAGGGAGTACTGCAAAATTTGAGCCACAAATATAACTCAGTGTGTATTCCTGATAACCTTTGCAACACAGTAGTTCTTTCTGCAGGACCCAAATCTTTTCTGTGTAATCTAGGTATAAGCTAGGTAATAATTTTGTTGTTTAAAACTTCCTTGCTGAATTCACACCTATGCTTGTGAGTTTAGAGTTTCCACTTTCAAAATGCTTAAGTGTGTGGAATGACTATAGTTTCAGAGCTGGGGAAATTAGATTTGTACCTTTATTCAGACAACCAGACATGGAAATCGAAGGAGATGGTACTCGGTTTGATAATACCAGTTGGAACCAGTTATTTTTCATATTAGTTACAAGTAAGTATAGCAAAAACAAAACTTAACACAATGCTATTTCCAGCCTAGAAAACTGAATATAAAACTTAAAACCAGTGAGTATTACTGGGATTTGGGGAAATGTAAGGTTTGCCTCTTGGAGGAAGTAATTTCTATCATTTTACAAAGTGTGGCTAATTGTTGTTTTGAACAGATATATTTCAAAATTAAACTTTTTAAAGCAGTCTAGTCGTATGTTTCTAATAATATAATTTCATACCACCTGAAGCCTGGGGAATATCAGGAGGAAAGGTAGTTTGCAAAACAGCCACCTTTGATTAAAGATGGGACCTGTAAATTTAGATCTGACAGCTGGGAAATGAACCACAAAACAAGGCTTCCCTACAGTGAAGAAAATTCAGCCACACAGATGATGGCAAGAAATGCTTAGAATCAGTGAAGTGAAGCTCTGGCATCTGCAGCACATCCTCACTTTTGCAGGTGGAGGGGAGTGGATTGGGATTCATGCATCAGGGTAACTGGTAGGCTGCCTGCCCAATCCGGAGCTGAATATTTACTCTCTCCCACTTCTGCGCTGTGTGATTTCAGCTGGATTACTTTGTCGTCTACTTTAGCATCTCCATCTGTACAGTGAGAATAGCAGGGGCAATGTGGAGGCATCAGTGGCAGGACTAAATTGAGAGCATTAGATACTTTGCATAATGTTTGGTAACCTATGAAAACTTAGTAAAGTGCATGGAAAACTACAGAAAACAAATTCTCAGTGATTTCCTGTGACTGATAATTTTTTTATACTTTACTGCAACTTTCAAACTTTTAGCAATGAAAATGTACTACTTTTCTAGAGTCAGCTTTGTTAAAGGCATGTGTACATGAAGGGTCAAAACCCCCGCACTGAGTGAAAAGGTGCAAGTATGGGAGGGATGAGAGGGATCTTACATTTCAGCTACCTTTTTTTGCTCAGAATTATGTGCTAGTGAGCTGGGCCTAGGACTCAGGTCTCCAGACTAGGTGCTGATGGATTTAGAGCAAAAAAGCGTGTTCCACTTACATTTAAGACTGGTATTCAGTGACAGTTGTTGAGGGAGAGAGGATAGGCGCAGAGGATATAAAGAACGGAAAGAATAATGGCGATACATGGATTTGGATTTAGGGTTTGGCAAAACAGGCTGAAGTGGAAGTCAGTGAAGGAAGTAGTTCTGATGCAAAGAAGACTATGTGTTTGGTTTTGACTATTGTCAACTCTGAGAAACCTTAAACTGGGATTCATCTACAGCAGCTTCTGATCTAGACGTGCAGCTGTGTGTCAGGAGAGACAGGAACAAAGATGTAGGAGAAGATGTTGTGGAATTAAAAGATGAAGTTGTGATGAATAAATTTTTCAAAGTTCAGAGAAGAGACTGCAGTTGAAATTGTCAAAGCGTTGAGGGATGAGCTGAGAGAAATTACAAAGGGAAGAAGGAAATGACAGGAGGAAGGGGAATATTTGGGTGAAAGGGCCAAGAGTCATTCTCTAGTTCTGAATTATAGGAAGGAGGTCAGGAAAAATAACCTCGTGGAAAGAAACTAATAGTCTTTTGGCTTCAGCTAAGATGATGTCATCAGTTACTTAAAAAAAGAAAAAGAAGAGCAGTTTGAGAAGTAGGAAAATGAAGTGGTTTTGAATCTCCTGCTCAAAAATTAGGCTGGGAAATCAGGTAAGAATGTATGTGATGATGGTTGGAAGAGATGGCCAACCACAGTCATGGCTTACTCAAGATACAGGACTATGAATATCTGAAAGCAGCAAGAAGAGATTAAAGCTTTGGGGAGACAGAAGATAAACCTAAATAAGAGTCCTCAGGAAGCTATAAAGCAATGAGGAGGCAGGACAGGAATCACAGGCATTCTGTCCAAAAGCATCCCTTCTCCTTGACATTTAAACATTTTAAAAAAGTATTTAGGAGCAATGAAACCCAAAATGTGTAATAGTCACTGTACAAAAGAGAGGAAAAGAAAGTGCTCTAAACTATATAACTGCATGTATATTTAAAAGTATAAGATAGAAAATGATATCACAGAGTTTTATTGGATCATTGAACAGAACTGTTTGCAGTATCATTGGTGGAATGTCCACTCTACAAGCTTTAATTTTGTGACTTGAACAATTATTTCTAAGATGGCAATATGTAATCCATTAACTAGTGATTTCCTACTGCGCATTTTTTTATTCTGTAAATCTGTATAACTTGTACCCCTTCACTGTTTTTTTTTTCTTTCTTTTCTTTTCTCCTTAAATAAAAATTAAAAAAAAAAAGTATTTTGACTAAATCTCAGGCTATTTACAAGAGCTAGAAATTTCCACTTATATGCTTTCGTTTTTTGTTTTAAGAAATAGCAGAAGCTTTTTGCTGCTGGTGCGGAAGGCACCATGCCACACTGCTTAGCGCAGCAGTCATTAAATCATTATTTGTGTTGTTACTTGCTTCACGCAGCTTTTCCCAGAGGGACTCTAAACTGCACCACAGGAGGCTTCACTTGGATTCTTTTAACCACTGTATCCCAGAAACTTTTACAGTGCCAAACACACAATAGGAGCCCAGTAAATTCTTGTTAAATGAACTAATAAAAGAATGAGTGAATGAGTGGTCTCTCCCACAGAAGATAAGAACAGCTGTATTCAGAAAAGTAACTCAGGGTTTGCATTGTTGTCTGAAAGTAATTCAGCACTTTAATAATGGTTTCAGGTAGTGATTTGTTTTGGATTTTTCTTGAATGCATGTAACTTTAACCGCCCCCCCTCCAGCCTATCACTGAAACTCAAAGAAAAATCTGTCCTTTGAATATAGATTAGGAGCAAATTTAGACAGGGGAAATGTAGGCAAAATACTTTCTGTACTGACAACAATATTTGTTTTTCAATTTTCCTATCTGTGGAATTGGTATAATGATAAAGGGTGCTTTAGGATTGAAAAGCACTTAATAGCAAACTCTAATACTTTTATTGTTAACTATGAGTACTTTCTCATACTTAATTTCCTTGAAAAGTTTCATTTCCAATTGTGTCAACATACATTTGCTCTAATGCAATTAGCCTACCAAGTAGGCTTGCATGTTTTGTGACTTTTCCATCTAAAACTTTATCACTCACCTAAAACTGATAAGGTAGCATACTAGGATTCAATTGACAAACTACACAGAATGGACACTAAATATTTGCTGATTGATTTAATAAACACTGCTGTACAATTAAAAGTGAGCTGTCATCTGTTCATTTTACCTTCATAGCAACTTTGCAAGATGGACGTTTTTTCCCCTTTTAGAGGAGAAATTTCAGGCTCAGGAAGATAAAGCTACCTACTTTCCCAGGGTCACCCAGCACCTACAACCCCAAACCAAGCTTCCCCATGCCCTGAGTCTCATCATTTCTTTATTGGCATCTAATTCTAACTCTGATTTTTTCTGTCTTTTTCTTCCCCAATTAGGAAAGGAGAAGAAGCCCATCGCCGGATGGTTTCTCATCACACTTACAGCAGTCCTCTGCTTCATCTTGTTAATTTTCTTCTTCCTCTGCAGAATGTAGGTGTTCTTTACACTAGGTGCTTCTAGTCAGGTCTGACTTGTATCGAACTTTGAGTCTTACTGTGTAGCTATCAGATAGTTCTTGTTATCGTGTGAAATGTATGGCATTTTTGCTCCTGCATAGCTTTTCTGAGATGAATACAGACCAAATCAAAAGTAAAAAACATCAGAAGGAAGGTGATATACAGAAACCGTACAGAGCACAGAAGTATGGCTGTCACCACTACACACACTTTCTCAAATTTTCCAACAAAACTTCTGTGAAGGGTTTTACCTTTGTTCTTCATTCCTGCTCAGCCTCCCATTTGCTACCTGCTTGTCTTTATTAAGTCACCGGTGTGAGCCTCTTTCTTACACTACATGTAAAGGAAGAGAGCATATGGAGGTTGAATTTACCTGATGATGCCTCCACAGCTCGACACTCAGTCATCAGGGGCCAGCTCCCGCCTGACCCTTCAGTCAGTAGCATCTGAGTGCCTGATTGTGAAGAAGGAGATTAGTGCTGGGGAAAACTGGTCAAGTAAGTGGGCTGAATTTGTCAAAGTCATGAGACTTATGGCACATGCAGGGGACACAGAACCCAAAATGACTCTGCAGCTGCCGAATACTGTACTCAGAACCAATCAGAAAAGTGCTATCTTTAATTCTTCATTTACATCTGGTGCGAAACCAGATGTAATGGTTAGTGTTCCTGTGGCCTCTCCCCATGCCCCACACAATCATGGATGCCATCAAATCTAGCATTTTGATTGGTTTGTTCTCTAGTGGTCAGATTTGGTGGTCTGAGTATTTTACTTGCCCATGAGTGGAGCCAGGATTTGATGTATTGGTGGGAAGAAGGTGTGTCCATCTCTTTTGCTTTTGCTGTTTGCAGCAGCCATGAAGGGCTGCCCCACAAAGTCATGCTACCTCAGAGCCAACTGAGTGTGGACTGAAACCTCCAAGAACTGTAAAAAGTAAACCTTGCCTTCTCTACCTTTGGACATCAAGTATTTTGTCTCAACAATGTATAAAAAATAACTAAGACATCTTTCATAGGACAAAATCCCAAATGTGCATGAGGGAGAGGATATCTAGGAATTTCACATACAAACGACTCCTTTCCACTATTCTCATAGTGGCTGGGAGCCTTTTCACCAGCTTGCTCTAATCCCGCAGAGCATGCTTTTCTACTTTCAATATATGTACCTTCGGGTTATCTTTCCACTGTGTCTTGATCATTTCTTTGTTCAGGACACCAAAAATCTGGAAAGAATTTCTTTGGAACCTAAAAGTCAATAACGAACAGAGCCTAGAAATATGAAAATGTAGCATCCTCTCTGGAGGGCTGGAAAACAGTCTCATAAGAATTCTCCATTCACTTTAGCATCCAGTAAGGCAAAGTTCCGTTTAGGAACAAGATAAAAGTATGTTGTGTCTTGGCCTTTTCAGAATGTAGAAAATATTGAACAAATTCAGTATTATAAATGTTACATTTAGACAGCATCTCTTTATCAATCAGTTGGAGAATCACAGTTCAAAGGAACCAAAGGAAAGAAAAAACTGCAATTCAGATCAACTGGGTAAGGAATGCTACAACCATGATTATAGGGAATGGTGAGACACTGGATCCTGGACATTTACGGTTCATTTGCAGAAACTGGACTCAGCAGCACGTACTGATATGAAACAGTAACTATTCCACTGTTTGTGGATGACTCAGAAGAAGCCACATCACAACCCACTGGCACCCAAAGGCCTTTAACTAGTATTATAATGTAAATATTTGGAAATCTCAACTGATAAAAATTTTGAATTATGAAATGAGTAGTCCTAAGATTAAGGTCAATTTAGAGTACATATTCACCCAATTCCTTCCTTTTCTCCATTTTTAGATATCACTTATGGACCAAGATGTTTCCACCAGTTCCAGCCCCAAAAAGTACCTTTAAAGATCTCATTATGACCACTAACTGTGAGGTAAGTAATATTGCAAGTTCTTACAACATGCCCAAAGATCCTTGGAAACTGTCATTGATTTTGGTTTTCTCTCTTTAAAGTAGGGATTTCCCCAGAATATCAGGATTCTGTTACTTCACTTAAGTAGGCAATTTTTAATTTTCATTTCCTATCACCTTTCTTTTTCTTTCTTTCTTTCTTTTCTTTCTTTCTTTCTTTCTTTCTTTCTTTCTTTCTTTCTTTCTTTCTATTTCTTTTTGTTTTATGTTTTCGAGAGGGCCTTCCTTCGTAAGTTAGACTGCTCAAACTCTCAACAAGCATCTTGTCTCAGCCTCCCAAATGCTGAATGACAGGCATGTGCCATCAGGCCCAGTTCTTTCAGCTGTTTTTAAAGTAAACTTAGACAATTCAAACCCTTTGAACCTGTACTTCCTTTTTTGGTATATAGTAAGAGGCACAGATGAAACTGTCTAGTGTTCTGCTGAACTCTAGTGCTTTAAAATTCCATGTTTCTGAAAGTCAACAAAGACTTTTCAAGGCAACTTTACTGTGCGAATAAAGAAATGAACAGTATTAAGACTAATACAGAGAAAGTGTTATGGTTTGTATCTAGATGCTCCCCTCTCCGTCCCAAAGACCTATGCAATCATAGCTAAGGCTTTGGGGAGGTGATAACATTATGGGGCTGACAACTGACAGCTGTTAGGGTCTGGTCTAGAGAGGGGACTCCGTGGAGCCGTGGCCTGCACGGGTTTATCTCCTCCCTGCTGGTACTCTGAGCTCATTCTGCTTCTTGGATGGTACACCGTGAGCAGCTCTTCTTAGCCACACCCCTCTGCCATGCTGTCTTGGCTTTGGAGCCAGCCAGCTATGACCTGAAGCTTCTACAAACTGTGAGCCAAAAGAAACCGCTCCTCCTTTAATTTGAAGATTTCAGTGTTTTTTTCCTAGCAATCAGGGAAGTAACAGAGACAGAAAGAAGATGCTTTCTCTGAATATGAACTTTTATAGTCTCACTCCCTTTTCAGAGCACATAGACTTAACTGGTCACTCACTTGTGCTCTCCAATCTCCCCAGTGTCACCTACTAAAAACATTATCCTTACTGCCAGGGAGCTGTCCTGACATCTATGTCTACGTGTCTGTGGATCTATTTCTATACTATCACTTTATTTTCTTTGGTTTATCTTTATGGTAAAGCAATACTACTGTGATTACTGTAGCATTATTGTAAAGTTCAAGACCAGTAAGACGTTCAAAAATGACTGTTTTCCCCAAAGTTGTTTTAGTTATTCTAGTTCTTTCCATTGTCATAAAAATTTTAAGACCAGCTTTTTTATAAAACAGCTAGAATCGTGAGTTATATTTTAGTGAATTATAAATTAGCATAAGGAAAAGTAACACCCTATCAATATTTGAGTTTCCAACCTGTAAAACTGGCATATACTTTTTATTTAGGTTTTCTTTTATTTCTACTAGCAGTGTTGATGATTTTCAGTGAATAGTTACTGTACTTTATTGAATTTATCCTTAAGTTGAATAGTTATCTTACAGGTCGACAAACTGTTTATATAAAAATTCAGATAATAAGTATTTGAGGGCCAAATAGTTCATTTCAACTTTTTTCTGTGTCATTGCAGTGTCAAAAGCATGGCTAGTAAAATTTTATTTACTAAAACAGAAAATAAGCCAGATCTGGGTATAGTTTGTTGGTCCCTATTTAGATCAAGCAATTTTCTGAACAAATTTAAATTTCTCTGTAATAAATAATACAAATTGCTGGATGATAGGGTGACAATTCATAGGAAAAATGGGTTGATGAAAAACTCAACAAAAAGGTGAAATTTCAATAACCTGTGACTTTTCTTTAGAGTGTCACAGTTTTGGTGTTTGTAAATCATTTTCAGAAAAGTTGCTAAGTTGTTAAAGCAAAGGACTGAGACTGAGAAAAGTCGCTCTGCCCCAGGCTGGATCCTTCAGTTTTCATTTATCAGGGGAATGCCCATCTGCTTTGTTTACCCATAGGTCTTTGGGAAGGAGAGTGTGTCCCATACGGAACTTTGCGGGGAGTGGTTCATCAGAATGTGTGCCGCCATCTTTCTTTGCTATGGAAGACAGAACACACTGGCTTTAAAGAGCAAGTTGACATCATGTGTCCTGGCCTGTGGATGGAACATCTTAATGCTGTTAACTTCCTCACAGAGCCCTAAAAGATTTCCTTTCATTTTCTGGGGCTGGAGAAAGAAACTGGCTTGAGAGCTAAGCTTGAGGTTTTCTGCTAATTAAAATCAACTCATGTGTGCAAAATAACAACTTAGAGTTGATGGGCTGGTGTAGCAAAGAATTAGTATTAACGCTTAGTATGGGCTAGTTTCTTAGGACAGCTTGTTCTTATATAAAGTTTCAAATAAAAACAAGGAGGAGGTAGAGAGAGACAGAGAGACAACAGACAGGCACACATACACACACAATGAGAGAGGAAGAGAGAAATTAAGACTCACCATGAAAAATTCCAAGAGATGAGATGTTTGCTGAAACATATCTAATGGAAGACATTTTCTTTTGCAGAAAGCTGGTTCCAGTGAAACAGAAATTGAAGTTATAAGTTATGTTGAAGAGCCTATGTTGGAAGTCTTGGAAGATTCTGTGTTTTGATTGTCACCGTGGTACTCTCAGATGAACTCACATATGTATCGGTGATAAGAACAGGACTAGCGTTTCCTGGCTAAGAGGTGTTCAAAACTTATGCAACTCAGTTGATCCACAAGGGAGCACATCTAGACATATGTCATGCTTCTCTTAAACATGTGAATACTGCATCAAAAATCTCCTCATTCACATTCAGGTGACCGATTAAATATTTACCTAGGTATTTCTCCTCATGCTGTATAGGACAGCACCTCTTCACACTTGCCAATGTTACATATCTTACCTCAAACATTTTGGTACAAGAGACAATTTGTAAGGCTAATCCTTACTTTGGGCAATGCCAGTTTGGATGTTTACACTGCCACTACACATCACCTTGCATGTATTTGGAATCCAACAACAGTTAGCAGAAATCAAGGCCTTCAATATTGTGGAGAAGATGATGTGTTCTCTGGAGAATGCAGCTGAAAATGACTAAGAGACCTGTATTTGACCTCGAGACTACCATGACCTGGATCTCTTTGTGATGGTACAGTAAAGTTGTATATAGATTGCTATATAAGAGAACTGACCTCCCGACATGGCTCATTCTGAGTGGTCTACCCTTAATTGCCTCATCACAGCAATTCAGGGAATTTGAACATTGATTTAATATGCAGTACCATCATGTGTGGCCAATGGAAGCTGAGGTCACAGTATTGGTTTCCACCAACACAGGTTGGAGAGTCTTTCCTTTGGAGCCCTCCCAGTCACAGGATCTAAAAGAAATGTTTGTTCTCCAAGGCGTCCTTTGCAATAAGGACTCAGCCCCATCTCTTTCTTTGTCTCTTAGAATTTACCGTTTGTAACATAGAGGCCACGTAGGGGAAACTGGAGTGAAGTGCATGTTTGCCAACAGCTTGGCCACTTGAGCCTCACTGAAATGCTTCAAGCCTCAAGTTATTTATGCAGGCTGAGGAAGAATTCACGTGGGCAAAGAACATCCTGATTAAAAATCCAAACATTTTCACGGTGAGACTTGTATGTGTCAGAACCATCTGTTGGTGGAATTAATAAGTGTTAGGTGCTAAAGAAAAAGTAGATATCTGGAAGCCAAAACAGTTAACTGAAAACAATCTTTGATGGCATGAGTAAAGGTGAAAAATCTAATTAGACTAGGACTTAATGTTAGCCTAAGGATCTTTGCGGCAATGACTATGTAGCTATTTCTGCTTCCACAGCTCATAAATTGAATTCCAGAGTACAGACTCTTTGAAAACCCTTTGTCTTTAGAATTTGATATCAAATTAGACAAGATATCAAGAAGACAAGACATTCTTGTCTTTTATCAGTATCCCTCTGTCTTAGGTAATAGATGTGTCTGTACCCTGAATAGTCTAAATCTGTAACTCGATGAGAGCTCTATTCCTTATTTTATTCCTACATTTTTCTTTTCTCTGTCCCCACTATTTATATCATAATCTCTGCTAAAATTACCAACAGACTCTGAACTGACATGTAGGCGTCTAGGATTTTCTCTGTTAAAGACATATCAGCCTGAATTACCCTGTTAGAACACTCACTCATGGAATGCCTCATCACCTTCAAATTAAAGCTCTTAAGAAAAAACCCACTATTCCTTGGCTTCTCAGTAGCTCTCCAGTCACAATCTCTCCTAACACCACCCGGCAATATACTGTTTCCCTGTGAGCACCACACTGGCTCCTCCGCCAGTGATTCTACTTTAGTCTTCAAGGGAAAAAGGCCTTTTCGACTCTTTTTCATCTTGTCAACACTTTGTTCTAAATAAGAGCTCTTTGCCACCAAAAAATCTTCTCTCAATTTCCACTTTGAACTAACAACCCACTCTGTTCCCTGGGTACCTTTTTTTTTCTTATCTTTGCCTTTGAGTCAGAGTCTTACTATATAGTCCAGGCTGGCCTTGAACTCAGTATGAGGCCCAGGCTGGCCTCAAATTATGGCAATTCTCCTGCCTCAGCCTCTTGAATGTTGGGATGACAGGCATGCACCATCATGCCCAGCTCATCTTCTTTTGAATTCACCATATTTCCCAAAACTTTTTCATCTCACTGAAAGTACAAAAACTCTGAAATCAAGAACATTGTTTTATTTATCTTTCTGCCTGCAAACACTGAGCAGGAACTCAGTTGCTGGTTGAATTTTGCTGGGATGAAGGAAAAGGAAGTTTCTTAAATGAACACCAGATTACAAAGCAATATTTGGCTTAGATATTACAGAACTGGCAGACTCCTTTACTAAAGCTCTATGGTTATAGCGGCGATTAGATTATCACTGGCCGTTAAAAATAATGAAAAGTAACTCATAACAGTCACTTTGCTTCAGAAACACCTGTCGTGACCTGGCCTGAGAAGCCCCAGATCACGCAGGTGGCATGGCTAGTGTGCCTGCCTACGGATTTGTGCCCGAGCCCTGGGCTCTGCTCAGCTGTGCAACCTTCAGTATTTAGTTACACGTGGTCAGGGGTGACACAAAATAGTCCCCATGCATTGTTTTAAAATTATCACAGGTTTTTTTCAACATTAAGTGTGTCAGGAGATTCAGTTCACTTATTGAAAGATGTGTCCCTATCAAGTGATAAAACAAAAAACACATAAACCAAGGAGGAGTTGGATACTGAATAAAGAACTCAAAAATGAAGTATTGGTGTATAGTTTAAAGCATAGTAAATATTCTCTGCTTTGTGAAATATGTAATCGCTGTTGTAGCCAATCTTTTATAGCATAAAACTTGAACACAGTTGGGTTCTCATTTACCAAAAAATGGGCAAAAGCTGGATTTGGCAGGTGGACCAATTTTTTAAATCTGTGTATAGGTTAATGAATTAAAAAAGTCACACATGAATGTGTTGCTTATTTATTCATTTATTTATTTATTTTTAAAAGTAGGGTAACCAATTGGAGAATAAATAAAACCAAACGAAAATCATTCTATTGTGACATGTGGGAGGAGACAGTGGTGAAAACATTTGTGTTTGCCTGGACTTCACCGTGTTATAAAATGATTTTGCAGTAAACACAAGTCCAGCATTTCTGTTCATACTTTTATCTGGCTGCTCATTTCACACAATGTTTCAAATGTGTATGTTTCTGTCTCCCCTCAGTGAAGCTTGAGGAGGGAAACCTTGATCTTATTTACCCCAGTTTCTCCAGGGCCCAGCACAGTATTTGATACACAGTACCTACTCAGTTCCTATTTGTTAACCGCTGAACACAGGAGGAACAATTGAACCAATTCACATTGCTAGTTTTTAGTCTCAGTTTGTTCTAAAGACTGATAAATGGTGCATCAGGTACATAATTTTACAAATAGCTATAATACTAGGGCTAAGTAATGTCCTAAGTAATAAGCCCATTTTAGTAACCCTTCAAAAATTTCTGTACCTTTCTCTACTCTTTTATTTCCTTGCTACATAAACTGGTCCTTTACCCTCAAAAGATCCAATGGTCTTAATATTCTGCTATCATCTCTAACCTCACGTAGCCCTAGGTCTCAGGATTTCACACTCCAGCCCAGGAAATGGGAAAGGAGAGTTTGGCAAATGAAAGGAAACTAAACTCAAAACATCAAAGTTCTACCTGACTCTTAGAGCCCTTGATTTTGGGAGATCCTGGAATTTTGAATTAGGAATTTAATAACTTTAAGCTGGGCACCTTTGTGCACACCTGTGATTCTGGCACATCAGGATGCTGAAGCAACTGAAGTCCAAATCTGGCAACAAGAGTTTGTTTAAAAAGAAAGAGTTAGCAAGAGTTTGTTTAAAAAGAAACATAAATAAGCAAAGCCCAAGGATTTTGCTTAGTACAAAAGCCCTAAGTTCAAGTCCAGTATCATACACACAAAGCAGAAAATTAATGTCTTCAGTTAGGGTGCATCTTCCTCCCTGTGTAGGATTGTAAAATTTGCATTCCTAGCTCTATTTTTAATTTTTAAAATGTTTATTTACCATCAGCAATGGGTAAATATACATAACACATCTTACTTCCTTTATTCATCCCCTTTCTCTCCTTGTTCCCCTCGCCCATCCGTCCATTTCTTGGTCACTTTTCCTTTTGCAAAAGATCTATCACTTTTGTTTCCTATGATCTTTTACTTTGCTCTTCAATTTATTCGAGTTTCTCATATAAGAGAAATCATGTGACATTTAGGTTTATGTGTCTGGTTTATTTCATTTAACTGCATCTTGAGTCTGTAATGTTAAAGTTGTAAGACTGAACAATTAAAAATAAAGAAGGACTGAATTTGAACTCACTAAATACCACATGGACATACACATACCAAAGAAGTATACTTTTATTAAAAAATCTGACATCTACATTAAATTAATTAATTAATTAATTTTTACTTTTCTGAGATAGGGTTATGCCATGTAGTTCAGGCTGGCCTTGAACTCACTGTGTGGCCCAGGATGGCCTGGAACTCATGACAATTACCCCACCTCAGCCTCCCACGTGCTAGGATTACAGGCATGTGCCACCATACATACTTGAAATCTATATTTAATTAGACCTCATATTTCATATAGCAACCCTGATTCCATAGGATAACAGGAGTTAGAAAACAAACAGCCGTAAATCACTTGAATTCAATACAAAAAACAAGTGAAAATAAAATTTATAGTCAATAAAAGAGAGGCAGCATGGCTAGGGCACATTGGAGCAGAGAAAATCACACCAAGCTGTGTGAGCTCTCTCTGCAACTGGGAACTTGACCCTGGATCACTTTTCAAATTAGAGGCTCATTACTGCCTTCTTTTTTGTTGCAATATGGTAACTAGTCCATCCATCTATCCATTCATCCATCCATCCATTTACCCACCACACATCATTTATGATGTATCATCTATTAGTAGATCTTGAAATCTAGTGTTTGGAGGGAGCCCTGAAGCCAAGTCAAGCACCTGAATTCCAGGCTTCTGCTCAGCAAGCTCTGTGACCTGGGACACAGCTCTGAACATCTCAGCCTCAGTTCTCCATGTATAAAGTAGAAATAATAAACAGAACCCATGTCACCAGGATGATTTGTACTGACAATGGCACAGACTATAAACATTGTTGACTATCACGATCGTTGCTGGTCTTTATATGGCCATGACATACCCTCACTGGTTGTGGCTTCCCTACCCATATCTGACTACCACATCATTCCCTTCTTCCCACATCACTGCCTGGTACAGAGGGAGCAGCTGATACTCTCTTTCTGACTAACCCACGCCATTTCAGGGACATTGCCCTGTGCTACTCTTCTGGACTGCTGTGCCCTGGACCTGGCCTTGTTCACAACTTCTTAATCTCCACATCCTCACCTTAGATATTTTGTCATCCAGCTTATCATTTCCCTCTTGCTAGTCAGTGTCTTGCCCTGTCCTCAAGTTGAACCTAGAGTCTAGTTCTCTGCTCCATTTCACCCATTCTCTCAATAAAAAATTATGTCTGGGTTTGAAAGGAACTGAATCAGGAGTTTCAAATTCAAGTCCTGATTTCCCAGTTGTTACATTGAACTTGTAATATTATTGCCTCTTTACCTTCATTTCATAAATTAAAAAGCAACAAACCTGCACATCTCGCTTCTCAGTCTGAAGAACACCTTGAAAACTATTTTTAAAAAACCCCAAAATATCACTATTTGTTCATTGTAATACATATTGCAATGTCATTGCAAGACATATATTTTCTGGCACAGTTTACCTATCAGTTGGTAAGAATATGTACAGAAACCCCAGTTTACATAGATTGGGGATACACCACTTAATCACACCTATATGTAAGTAACTCAAACTTACAGTTTCAAAACTTTCAGATATTTCATGTGATTGGCTTCTTCTACAAAAAGTCTTCACTCTGTGTGATACATATCATTAGAGCTTTGTGACTCTACAAGTGACCATAACTACCGAGGGTAAAGGACAGAGGTCCATTTTGCTTGATCTATGAACTCTGTTTAGTATTGTAGCTTACACTCTAGTTGTGGAATTGTGATGTTTAATCTGCATGGCCCATTCCACATGGGGGAAAGGGGCTTCCTTCCAGAAGGGGCACACAATAATTCCACTCTGGCAGAGGGTTTGGGAAATCATGAGATGGCACCAGACAGTCTTTGTGCTTGAATCACATGAACAAATGTGATTTAAATGCCAGATAGGAAGGGAGGAGTGACCGGAGCAGGCAGAGACCAAACTTGCTGAAAGAGAAATGAGAGGCCAGTACCAGATGGGGAACTGAACTGAGGGAGGCTTTGTGGAGAGCCTGGCACCTGACTGAGGACCCTGCTGTCCCCTTCTTTTGTTAAAATCAATGTTTCTATTGGTAAAAGTTTAAAAAATATTAACTATTAGTATTTATATTAAGAAATTAAATTTAAATACAAAGCCATAATGGATGTAGCCATTAAGTTCAACTTATTTTGGTGACAGGAAGCACCTGAATTCTGTATCTATGGCTTATATTATACCCCTTAGTTGGAGAAAAAAATAACAGATTTATACAACAATCACCAGTTACTGGAGAGTCATATATTTTGAACTTTACAAACTTGATACATTTAATAAATGTAAATTGTGACAGTTCATCCCAGGGTATCAACATTCAGAGTCCATGTTTTTAGCCACTGATTTACACTGCCTTTGTAATGTCCTAGCGCTAGGAATGTTGTAGAATAATTATGAATATGTCCACACACTGACTATAAATCCTTGAGATTAAAGGCTTACCCTCTAAGTCACTATGATTGGCCACATTGCCATTTTTAGCCAGAATATTATAATATTAGTTCTAAAAATAGGAAAATATAGTCAGTTCTTACCCATGCTAATGGGGGAGAACAGTAGCAATGATAATCTAATACAGTACCCACATCAACAGTTGGATGATGAAATTGCATTAACTTCTAAGACATTTTGGTAGGTAATTGTGTGTCACATATACTTTCAATAACCCAATGTTCTTTGAGAATATTTCATAAGTCAAAGGTGGTAGAGAGAGTGGGAAAAGGTTAATCTGGATTTAAATCGCCCCCTGGATGGGAATGACCAGGATTTTAGAGGCAGGAATAACTCAGTTATACTTTTTGTTTTTTTCCAACCCTACTGTTTTAAGGTAGAAATTAATGGCAACCCATAGACTAGAAAAACCCAAAGTTTTCTGAGTTTATCACTCATCTCTTCTGCCCAAATGGAAAGGTGTTGCTTTGTCCGTAGGGTGTCTGGGTTCGGTAAAAGCCAGGTACACTGAAAGAACCCACTGAAAGACTAGTGAGAGTAGAGTTGCCTTTTATGCAGTTAAATCACACATGTATTGGACACAAAAGAGAAAGTAAGGGTAAGCACTTGAAAGGTTAGAAAAACAAAACATTTTCCTAGCATTCTTTCTTTAGGCAGACATCTCAAGCAGCTACATATTCCACCTGAGTGTACTACTTGGGCATATGGGATTGTATATCCCTGTGACCGGCTATGCGTAGAATGTCTGTTCTTTAGACCCACCCAGTATCTGTGCTCCTCCTTTGAGAAATTTTGTTTCAGTCTTCCTTTAATAAATCATCCCTCCATGTGAGTACAGGCTTAGTGTGATCAAGGTGCCCTGATTGTGCAACCTAAATTGATCAGACACTTCTCGAAGAATCTAGACATTGAGAGGGCGGCATGAATATCAGAGACAAAACCGATTCATTCCCACAACTGCACACAGAAAATAGTTTTCAAGTTGCAGCAGCCTGGACTTTTCTCCAAGGCTTAGTCCTTTAGTGTTTCTTGGGCTCAAGTGATCTAGCCTGTGTCCTGCTAATTAGTTCCCTTATGTTTGCTCAAATTAACATTTGTTTCTGTGGCTTCCAACTAGTGGATCCTATTGCAAACCTATGAAATCCAAAAAAATATGAGACAAATTTGGGTCAAGGGGCCTGTACTGTTCTGTCTAAAAAATCTTCAGCTGTTAGACTCAGCTAAGACAGGGATTCATTGTCAGATGGTGAAGCTGAGAGGTGACAATGAAGCTGAGAGTGAAAGGAATTTGTCAAGGCATAGAGGTAGGAGCTGGGCTTTCTAATACTTCCCAGCATATCAATAAAGTCATAACACACTCTTCCCTGGTTGGTTTGCTGTAGCACACAGGCAGGCAACTGGTTAATGCAAAATGCTACTTCAGAGACCCCTTCAGTAAATTAATCAAGGAGTATTTATTGCAAGGCACTGTGCTAGGCACTACGGAGAGTACAAGGAAGATAAGACCAATGTTCCTGCCCTCGAGGAGCTTACAATCTAGTTGGGGAGACAAGGCATACATACAAGGAAACATAAATAACAATACAGGAGTTAAGTTAAAATGCAAGATAACAGTACAGAAGATTTCCAAAAGTAGTACCTGATTAATTACTAAATGGAAGGTTGCAGTGAATTTAGAGAAGGAGCATCACAGAGGACCAATGTATGGAAAAACTTCACAGACGAGCAGGGATTGCGGCTACTCTGGGAAGCAGATATTGGGAGACTATTGGAAAGCATTTCAGGAAGGGGCAGCCATGAGACTGAAAGGCACAGAGGTAAAACCAAAAGCAAGCAGTGTTTAGGGACTAGAGAGGGCTAAAGAGTTCACCGTGACCAGATGTAGAGTTAAAGTGTTTTAGATTAAGAAGGGCTGGCCCTCTGTGCTCAGGTTTAAGTTTTATCACCTCGGCAAGGGAAAGAAGCAGGAAGCTGATAAATACGTTTAAGTAAAATACACAAAAGCCTTAGCTAATGCAGAGAAAATATTCAAGTCTGATCTTCGGGACATTTATTTGTGGATTTTGATTTTCTCTACTTTCAAAGAGGCTTTGAAATGGTGTCTTTAGGTTGTCACTTCCAAAGGAAAGGCTTAGGGTCATGGCCAGAGACTTTTCAGTCCCCTTCTGATCCCAAATAATGACTAGCACAAGAGTGAGCTAACATTCCCTGACAGGCAGGCAGTAAAAATGCTCCCAGAAGACAAATATCTTTATAAATGACAGAATATTTATTAACAATACCTTTTAAAAAAGATTACATATGCTAGATCACTGGTAAATATCATTTACACTGGGACTGGGAACTACCTGGGATATTATTTTTTTTCATTCATTTTCATGTTTTGTTGATTTTTTTGTGTGTGATTTTAAATTTTATTTTAACATAGAAATAATCATATCAAACTAAGCAAGGAACACAGCTTGAAATACTGACAAGAATTTTTTTGTTGCAGTTAGCATCCTAATTTTTACACAAGTGGAATCCTGATTATGACTTTATTGGATAAATATAGTTAGAAGTTTGAAAAGTTAACATATTATTCGTAAGCAAAAATGACAAATTACAGGCAAATTTGAATTCTTTAAGAAAAAGGAACATTATGTTCACATGTGAAATTTTTTATAGAAAATTTCATTGCCTTTTTATATTACTGTTCCACCAGTGTCAGCTTATAAAACCTCCCCATCATAACAAACAGTTCTTTTCATAAGAATATGATTTTTTAATATTGTCATTTTCCAATGCATAATTTTAAGACTTAGAAGGTAAAGCTTATAAAGCAACTAGTCTAGCTATTGCAAAACAAGAGAATTGTCAAGATACCATACAATTTTACTAAAGATCTTTTATAGAACCATATGAAAAATTCTTTGCAGCAACTATTTGTTGAAATAGGAGAAATCTTCCAAACTCTGTAAGTGATTGTGATTCAAAAGAAGAGTTCTATTATTACAGAGATACACATTATATATAAGAAATTTTGTAAAGGAATTGTGAGTCCATTAACAGAGAATTACTTTTTTTTAAAATTTACATTCAAACCAGATACATTTAAAGGTAACAAAATTATCTTTTATCCTTTGAAAGACTTGATTGAGTATAGCAACTTTTAGTCTATGTTACTACAGGATATATAACTTCAAATTTAATGTCTAGGATAATGCTACTACAAAGACAAGGCTAACTTAGTTGAGCGAAAAGAAAGTCTTACCACACAATGCTAAATTTAGGGGTGGGAATATTGCACAAATGCCTCTTGGGCAGTAAGTTTAGCTTTTTTAAGATTTGCAGCCATTTCTGAAACCATCTCAAGTTGTGTTATATAACAAAATTCACAACAGGGTGGAAAAACATATTATACAAGTCAAAAAGACTTCATTCAACATAGCAACCATTCAGAGAGTAATTTATATACAGCAGCCTTGAGTTATAGACCAAGTTTCCAGGTGTTCTGCCATTAGATTCTTGTAAAACTGTACAAGTGATTAGCAATTTATTTATCAAGATGAGTTTAAACTCTGTCTTTAAAGCAAATATTCTCAAATCATAATTGTATGATTGTGTTGCCCATAGCATTTCATAGCAGAGGAAAAAATTAATATCTACATTACATGTTAACTTTAAAAAATTCTATAAAACACTAAATATATAATAAAAAATATGCATATAAGGACTTATGTAAACTGCTTTGGTAACATCATATTACAGATGTCTTCAGTGCATTGCAGAGTTTCCAAAGAAACTTCAGACAAAGCTAGATTTGCTTTGAGGAAGTACTGTATAATGCCATTCCTAAAGAAGCAAAAAACATTTTTTTCCAGTAATAAGATGTACTTGAACAACAATATTACTTAGTACTGGGTGTCTTCAAAACAACTAGCTAAACGTTGCTTATATTATAAACAGCAAGTCCTTTGGATAACTTTTGTCATAAACTAGACCTGGCTGTGAGGGAAATCATGATCGTGCTGATGGCTGACAGTGTACATGCATTTGATGAGGAAGCTCCGGATCCTCTCGCATAAGAATCTGAAAAGACAGAACAAATTCACTCAGAATGGCCTCATTTCAACTACAAAGGGAAGTGAAGTCCAGGAGCTTTCGGAAACAGCAGAACAGACTAGGTTCTGCTGAAAGCAATTAGCTCTTAATACCTCCTTAATATCAGTTCTGAGACTACTTAACTATGAACTGGGAACATGTTAGAGGACAGCTCTGTTTACCTGTTTAAGCTTTTATCTTTTTATTTTATTGGCATATTTTAGCTATACATAGTGATAACACTCATTATAGAGAGTTTGTACCTGGACATGGTATCTCTTGTTTCTTTTTTTTCTGTTTCTCTCCCCTCCTTTCAGTTCCTCTTCCCCCTTTATTTACAAAAGCTTTGTTTCCATATTTTCTTTCTATTCTTTTTTTTCTTGTCCATGTTAAGCTTTTGTAAAGTGAGACTAACCACATTAAATTACCAGTAACAATATTCATAAGCATTATGATGTATCCGTTTGAACTCTACTTTTGTGCTGGGCACAGACCAATATGACATAAACCTTACAAAAATTTCTTATCAGTCAGGTATTATTGTTATTCGTCTTTTTGAGACAGGGTTTCACTATGAAGATCAGACTGGTCTTGAACTCACTTTGCAGCCCAGGCTGGCTTGAACTCACAGAGAGATCCTCCTGTCTAAGCCTTCTGTGCTGGGATTACAGGTGATTACAGCATCATGCTTGGCACTACTATTACTCTGTTTGACAGATGAGGAGATTTGGCCTAAGAAAACTAATTTGTCCAAAATTAACTAGCTAGCGAGGGCCTAAATTTGGAATCATTCCCACATCTAAATATATCCCTTTTCTCCAAACCAAAGAGTCTTGATCATTTAAAAATTTTTGAGGCAACTTGAGACTATACTCATAAGTGAAATAAATCAAACTCACATGTATAAATATCATATTATCTCCCTAGTGTAAAAAAAAAACAAAGAATAATAAGATCCAAAATGTACAATAGATATTGTGATAATGAAAGGGAAAGAAAGGGCTCAAAAGGAAAGAACACCTGGGGCAGGGGAAAGGAGAAAAGGAAGAAGGAAAAGATTATATGCAAATAGGTATACATATGTACAAAAGATAGATAACTATACTACTAATCTCTGTTCATTGAAAAAAAGTTTGTGCTTTCATTGCTTGTTTGAACATTCTTTCATGCCTAGATCTTATAACCTGAGTAACTACTTCTAAGATAACAATATGTAATATATTAACTAGTCCTACTTTTTAAAAAAAATTCTGTATTGTTTCTGTCTTTTTTTGTTTGGTTTTGATTTTTTTTCAAAGTTTTGTGGTCTTACATTTTGCACAGTAAGATTTTTTTCATTTGTCATTCAGGGTTTCTTCTAAGTTGTAAGATCCTATTGGCCAACATAATGAAAATCTCTTAAAAAGAGAGATCATGTTTGACTCACAGTGACATCCTTACCACCAAATAACTACCACTATAACTATTTAATGCATGGTTTTGTAATAAATAAAATCAGAATAAGTCAGGCTGAAAGCTTCCTTGTAGTGATTAGACAGTATGCACTCAGGTTTTAACAAAGTGAGATAAATAAACATAAACCCTAATCTAGTGCTTTTGTGGCCTGGAGTTTATTTCCAGGTACCTGGTTTCCCTTCAGTGGAAGTGAGAGTCACTTGGCGAGATTTACTATGCAATCCCACCCCCCAGTTTTTAAAACATAAGAAAGCTTTCAGTATTTATATGCAAAAATGATGCTTTAAATAAAAATTCCATCAAAATATTGGCAAATCACACCTAAGATCTGGAGCATGGGTCTATAGATCCTTGTTCTTCACTAAGATCCTGTTCTATTTTTTAAGCCGAACAAACACTTACTGAATCCCACCAAAACAAAAGACAATCCAGGAAGAAGACAAAACTACCAATGAGCTCGTTGTCTTCTTAGACATCCATGTTTTGCAGATGAATTTAAAATTGCTTAGTTGGTACTTCACTATCACCTTGTACCCACAAGCCATACAGGCTCTTGCCATCTATGAAAAAAACATGATGGACACTGAGCAGTGGGATAGCAGATCAGAACTCAAGATCTGCAGTAGGAATTTTGCCCATGATTTAAAATATCATCACTCCACTGATGGCTTTAAAATTTATAACCCCAGCCTACACTGGTTGCCTAATTTCCAGGCATTTAAATCCAAAAGCATGGGAAAATCTACACTTAGGTATTTAATGACAATCTTTCCTTTTTGATTGCAGTGAAATACACAAACATAAAGTGATCATTGTAACTATTTTAAAATATATTAGGCAGAGGCATTAAGTACCCTCTGGTGGTGAGAAACCAGCACCACTATCTATTTGTTTATCACCGGAAATGGAAAGCAATAGTCACTAAACTGCCATTTTTCACTGGCCAGCCACTTCCCCTCACTAATCTGATTTCTGTCTACTTGGATCGGCTCATACTGTTTTTATCCTCTAATATGATAAATGGAATCACAAAAGCGAAACAATACTATTCAGTTGGGATACTTACAAACACAGTACTCACAAACATAGGATGGAATATATTTGCTCAAAAAGGATATTCCAAATATCATTTAACTATGTTTTAAAATGAAGATATTATATATTTATATGTATTTATACACATTCAAAAAATGTTAAGTTGAAAATATTTTCAGCTCAAGACAATGTATTATTGTTTCACTGGAGACAAAGTACTAGAGTCCTTTTCAAAGTCTTTTGTTCATTTCTTCTAAGTCATGCTTTTACTTTGGGGATTTGTAACTTGGGCGTTATGTGATTGCAAATCCAATAGGCCAACATGGAAATTCCTGTGTAACTGATGAGATCAGGTGCGTTCAGGGTGGTATGGCTGTAGACAATTTCTGTGTAACTGATAAGTGGATGCCTTAGTCTGATGTTTTGATTTGCAAGTGATTAAATCAATCAAATCCAGGCAAACACTCTTCTACCTGAAACTACCTTTGCTCAACAATTAACTCTCTGAGGGAAGGCAACATGGTTGTCCACTTTTACTCTAAGATTTTCTCTGTGGGCTTCCGTTCCTTCAAGCCTTGTCTTAAGAAGATAGTAAGACAGGCAGAGGAAAAAATGAGAAAAAAAGAGTCTTACTTGATATCTTTGGAATTCGAATTTGTTCACTGCTGCTGCCATCTCCTCCATCACTGAATGGCTTAATTTCAATTATATAATCTTCATCAACAGGTAAAGAAAGCTCCACTGATGTTTTATTTGTTTCAATGACAGATGTGCTGCTTTGTCTGTTCCATCTGTACAAGACCTGCCAATTTAGAAAGAACAGTCGTTATCCTCACAAGGGCCCCAAACACTGAGTAAAAACGGATCATCTGTTTTTACTCTGGGCACTAATAGCATTCAGGGACACTGAAGCTGTCTGGCTGCCCACTCACTTTGGAAGACCCTTTTATGGTGAGGGCCATGTCTGCAGCTATCCTTTCATCAGGAGGAAAGAGAATAGGGGATACAGCAAGGAATGAAAGCAATGTGATTCTACCAATATGCTGTGTGATTACCCTCTCAGGGAAGGCTCAGTTCACACTCCTGGACAAATGGAAAAAATGAACACCTCCTTACGAGTGTGCAGAGGCTGTGGCATCAAACAGGCTTGACCAATGTGTGACTGTAGACAACATTCCTTTCCTTTCTGGGATGTTTCCAATTGGTACAAGGACAGAATGCAATAAGGGTGTGGTTCAATGCAAGCAAGAAAGAAATAGTATTTATGAATCCTTAAGAGGAATAGGACAAACATGGCACAGGTTAAATGCACAAGACAGAAGTGGCAGGTTATTATTATCATGAATGTTTAGGAGAGAGGACATCTCAACACAGTGAGATTTCTGAAAGACAAGGGTAGTAATCCTCTTCCTCCAGTTCTTTTTTAATGACTATATAGTAAAGTGGGAATCACGAATCATGGTAACTCTGGAAGTGTTTGTATGTCACAATAGCCCCATTGGTGAATCTTTATCTTCCATTTGGGACCCCTGGGTTCTAAGATTTGGTTGTGATCCATTTGAAGAAGTGATTGTCCAGCTCTCTTAAAAAACCTGCCTGGGATTACTTGTCCTGATCAGAATCACCCAACTCAGAAACAAAATAGGAGGCCAGGAAAAGAACATCTACAAAGTTCAAGATGAAAACTCTCCTGTAAATTCTTCCTGATGCTTACAGACACTACATCAGCATCACTGTTTAATCATCACCAGAGTCCTATAAAACAAACATGATTACTCATTTTTGCCAATGAGAAAAACGGCCCAGAGGCCTCACATATATGCTAAGTATCAGGGTGAGGATTCCTAACCTGCATGCGTAAGCCACTATAGTTGACTCTCTTTCTCCTGACAATTAAAAAGTTAGGATTGGATGAAAACAGTGGTTATCAGTCCTGGTTCATGTTAGAATCATTTGAGGCGGTGGTAAACTAGTAATGCTCTAGCCTAGGGAGTTCTAAGGAGGGATGGGAAGGTGGGGAAAAAATTTTGGCCCACAGGAAGGCATTTGACAGTATCTGCAGACATTTTTAGTTTCACTATAGATATTTCTGGTACAGTGGGTAGAAAACTGGAATATATCCTGAATATCCTGCAGTACAGAGGATGGTCCTATAACAAAGAGTCATCCAGCTCCAAGTTTCAATAGTGAGGTGGTAACAAATTCTGCTTCGGTTTCACTTGAGGCTGCCAAGTAAGACACGGCAGAGGTGGGGTCCAGGCTGAGGTATATAATATGGGGTGGGCAGGATGGATTAGATTTGGGGCTCTCAAACTGAAGCATACATAAGAATCACCTAGAGCTCATTACAACATAGGTACCTTGGCTCAATTCCCAGAGTTTCTGAGTGAGAAGGTCTAGGTTTGGGCCTGAACATTTGCATTTCTGACAAGTTCCCATCTAATGCCAGTGCTGCTGAGACACAAATCCCATTTTGAGAACCATAAAACTAGCTAGCTCATCCTTCTGTAAGATCACTATCCAAGGTGATTTGCTGAGGTTGGAGATCTAAGGTCACTCTGCTATTTCAAGAAAAAACCAAATACAAGTGAAGTTCGTAAAATTCCCTGAAAATGGCTTAGATCCCATTTATTCTCTGGCATTTCATTATCTTAATTTATGTCTTCCTAATACAAAGTGGAAAACAGAATTTCCTTTCTGAATCTTATGGGAAGATTCATAAGTACTCCCCCCACCCCCTGCCACCCCAACAAGCATTAGTTGCACAGACTCAGCAATGCCTTGCTATTTATCAGCCTCTGATAAATCCTGAAGCACATTCAGGAGCATCAAAGCTTCTCATCACAGTGCTTCAGGAGAATGGGCTTGCTGATGGGATGCAAGGTCACATCTGGCTTTGAGGAATAAGCTGCTTCTTTGATTTACCTCTGGTCCTTGCAAAAGCTCAGAAAATTCAACTAGTTTCAAATATAAATCCAAAAGAAACATTTTCAGGGAAAAGAGGCCCTTTTTGCTGGACTGCTTATCAGTTTTGAAATATTAAGGACTGCAGTGGAACCTAAATAAAGGCTGTAAAAGCTTTATTTACAATAAATTCTTGTTTCAGGTGATTGACAAAGGCTGTCCTTGCATTTGATATAATCTGGGGTGGAAGAGAAAGAGTGGGTTGATGGGAATAATGATACTAGCACCAAACATTGACTGCTTTTACTATCAGCTCTCTCCTTGTTCTAAAGGCTTATGCAGATTCTCTTCTGTGTGGGTACTGTTATTCTAATTTCAAAGATAAGAACCAGGGTCCTGCAAATAAAGATTTGCCAATGTCCCAAGATCCTGGATTTAAATCTGCACAGTCTGGTGCCCAGGACTGGATTCTTAATCAACATGAGTTTGGCTACCACATCTGTGACTGAGCAAACAGCGTTCCTTCTTTGGTCTCTGTCTTCATGAACTCGAAACAGGAGTGTTAGAGGAGAGAAGGGTGGTAGCACAAGACTCATATCCAGCCTAAATGAATTATTTGTTTGGCACTCAGAGTGTTTAATCTTTTTCTGAGTTAGATGTAGAAAATAATGCATGAAAAAAATTTCATGCATCCAATATTGAAAAATTGGATGATTTTGCCATACTACTTGCTATGGGTTGAATGTTTATCCCTTCTAAAAGTCCTGTTGAAGTTTAATTGCCATCGTAACAATGTTGAAAGGTGGAACCTTTAAGATGTCTCTACTCTCACAGGTGGGCTTGGTGCTGTTATAAAAGTGCCCCCTTTATCTGTGTCTCACCCTCTCACCTGCCACGTGATGACACAGCAGGAAGACAGGAGCTATATGCTGGCACTTTAATATTGGAATCCCCAGCCTCTGGCACTGTGAGAAGTAATTTCAATCCATGATAAATTACCTCGTCTTAGATCTTCTGCCATAGTAGGACAATGAGACAAGGACAGTTATCTGCATTCTGGCAACAACTGGCACTCAGAAGCCTTTGCCCATGCTGGATAATCACAAAGTCTGATGTCTGTCAAAGGTCCCAGCACTTTCCTATATTGTCACATAGGCATCGCTCACTTCCAAACCTTGGCACTTCCTGTTTGCAGTGCTTGAAACACCTGAGCAGAATACTGTCTGTCTCATTTGTCCTTTCTTTCAAGATCCAATTGAAGTGTCACTTCTAAAGCACTTTTCCTTCACATTTATATAAAATAATAAGTCTGTCATATTTGCCCCATGGCTCACTCCACTCCCCTCACTCTGATTTATTTTTCTTTGTAGTACTTTATTACCACTGTTGTATTTGTTTATTGCAGGTAGACACAATAGCCTAGTGGATAAAAGTCAGAACAAGATCCCTACTGCTGTGTTCAGACCCCAGGTCTTTTATTTATTTATTAGCTGCGTGACTTTGGAATAGTTTTTAGCTCTAAAACTCAGCCTATTAAATGTATTAGATACAGAAATTTCTTCATTAATGCATTATTTTATGCGTTACTGTGAAGTTAAGATGAGTTAGAACAGTGTTCACTTAGTACAGATATTTATAATAAGTGGACATGTCATTGTAACTGTAACACATTTACGTCAGCTGTCTGACTCGTTGGTAGTATAGTTTGTGAAACTAAGACTACAGATGCTCCTTTTAACACTGGTGTCATAAGGTGGCCTGAAGATGTGTGCTGACAATATTCTGGACCCAAATGTTCTAAAGGCAACTTCTTATCAAGACTACCTATTTAAGTAGAGCTTTCGTGAATCCACACAGTTTAGTGAAAAATCAAAAGTAAACCCCCACCCCAGAACCTTCAGTATTTAGAAAGCAAAACGAGTGATGGAAGCTGGATATAAACAAGAGCTATTTTCAGAGCGAAGAGCTGCATGTGTGAGTAACAACAGATCTATTCCCAGTCACAGTGACATTCCCGGGAGTCCACCTGGGAGTCTGCATGGTCCAGTTCCATCCCTAACTTACTGAGCTGGGAATCAAGAAAGTATCCTGCCTCTAGTCTGGTTTGAACTTCTCACTCCTCTTTCCTCCACTTCCCCTACTGGGGGTTCTGCAGTGTTTCACATACTTGACATCCACCTATCAGTGATGCTTCCTTTGACATAAACTTCCCAGTGTTTAGGGAACACTATGTTTTTCTTAGATACAGCCTATATCTAGAAGATACAATGAATTTATATGAAGAAACATTTAAAAAACTAAATCTATGGCTTACACAGGTAATATTTGATCTACTATTTAGATCTGAAACATTTCCAAGCTCCATAGTTTTAATTTGCTTCTATATTTTATTCTTTTTACAGAGACAGTCTTTTACTAAATCCTACATCAATCCTAGCAGATCTTTTCCGGGAGGTCAAATGCCGTCGTATGTGTCTCGTGCCGCTTTATTCCCCTGTATGATGTTATACGCTACTCAAATGAATCTCCTATGTGGCTGCAAATGTGTCTATTGGGGTAATAAATTCAAGAAAGACCTTCCTGGAAAGGAGTTGCAGAGACAAGCTCATATGAGAGCTTCTGAGAGGGAGCAGGTGTGTAAAGAAGTGCCAACTAAATAATAATCGTTACCCAATTTTTCTTCTAAAAGCGCCTATAATCTTTTGGGCCCAGTTCACTGAAGCAAAGTTTAGTGTGCATATTGATCCTGGCCCTGAGAGGCCTGAGGATGCTCCAAGTCACTTTACTCAACAGGCATTAGTTTTCACATCTGTAAAATGAAGGGCTTCACTGGATGATCTCTAGGCAATCTCCCCATCCACCAATTTTATTTCAGTACCAGCTCGAAAATGAGTTTAA